ATAGAATGGAAATTGCAAATGCAAGAGATTTGAGAGAGGGGTATGTCTATTATGTACTATGAATTAGTGGAGAGATGGGAAAGGGATGGGCTGTTTATAACGAAGGGGGGAAAGAAGGTGTTGTAATGCTGAGATTGTACTAGGGTTAAAAACCAATAAATTTTAAAAACAGAATCCTTGCATTGATGTTAGGAGTTACAGTAGAACATGATTCCCTTCCAAGCGAAGGCAGTGCTATCCATGGGTTTTCTGACAGCGTTCCTGCTTTATGAGGTTTGCTATTGTTGTTATGCCTTCAAGTCATTTCCAACTTATGGCATCCCTAAGGGGTTTCCTTGGCAAGATTTGTTCAGAGGAGGTTTTGCCATTGCCTTCTCCTGAGTCTGAGAGAGTGCGACTTGCCTAGGGTCACCCAATGGGTTTCCATGGCTGAGCTGGGAATCGAACCCTGGTCTCCAGAGTCGTAGTCTAACTCTCAAACCACAATGCCATGCTGGCTCTCACTTTCCAAGGCAGAACTGCAGGGCACACTCCATTCCTTTGCTTTCAATTAGTTATTTTTTTCTGCTTTGCTTTCTGCTTTCCAAGGCAGAAAGAACTAATTGAAAGCATAGGAAAGGAGTGCTGTGCTCCCAGGAGCAGATTGAGCTGTCTTTCCTGAGCAGGAGACACCGTTTCCAAGGTAGAGATGTGTCACTTCATAGATCCAGCTGCCAACCATCTGCAGGGGGGAAATAGATGGTACTGTAGATGGTAGAAAAACAGCAACCAATTAATCCATCAACCGTGGAACAGGCATCCTCCGGGGATAGAGGTCTGCCTCCCTTTGGGAGTGCGAGATCAAGTCTAAACACACACATACACAACATATATAACAACTCCTTTCGGTATAGGTAGAAGATCCCACTGGTCCATTGAGGCCAGGAGTGCACCATTGGGCTAGATTAGGGGCATTCGCAGGTTTCTCCAGAGCCCCCAGGATCAAATATTGCAAAATAAAATCTTCCAAAATGTTCTCTGAAGAAACTGGCCAAGAAAACCCCAATGATCGCTCTGCCTTAGGGTCACCATAAGTTGGAAACTACTTCAAGGTGCACACCAACAACAACATAGGGGGGTTGCAGACTGCCAGAAATAGTGCAAATTGAGTCCACTTTTAGGGTTGGGGTTAGTGCTAGGGGATCATGGGAATTGTTGTTGTTTTTTCTGAGACATTGAGCCTTCTCTGTCAGAGAGCTCTGGTGCCACAATAAACTACAGTTCCCATGATTCCCTAACCCTAACCCTAACCCTAAAAGTGGACTCAATTTGCACTATTTCTGGCAGTCTGCAACCCCCCTATTATAGTGACTTTTGGTCAGCGTCAGCAACCACAACCCTGTGAGGTGGGCTAGCTTTGTTATTCCTGCCCCATCCCTCTATGAGAAAGAGCTGAGGAACAGCCATGAAACTCAGGGCTTTGGGAAGGGGGACAGGGGTGATGATTAAATCCTGTATCATCATGACATGACTCAACTAACACGGCTTGTCACTCGTCACTGCCGATTTTCCAGCGCGGGGCTTATGGCAAGCGTCTCGTCTCTCCGCTTTATTAAGTGTCACTTTCTCGATTCATGCAGCAAAGGGGCTTGTCATTTCCCGTCCTGGCGGGAACCCTCGCCTGGCTTAATAATCACATCAAACAAAGGAGGGCAGTTCTGCCGTATCACCTCCTCTGCTATAGCATCACACCGATTACCCAGCTTCTGCTCCCATTTCCATTCGGCTGAAGATTTATGGAGAGACAAAGCACAAGGAAACCAGTCATCCCTGCACCGCCGCCACCACCTCCACCCATGCATGCAAGCCCTACCAACTTTGGAGGAAGTCATCTGCATCTGTCCTTGAGCATCATCACTTGTTCCAAAAATATCACCAACCTTCAGCCTTCCTACACACCACAGAGAGATTGCACAGGCAAAGCAGTTTGCATTATATCAGGGTTGCATGGATCCCTAAGGTCAGAAGGCCTTTTTGCAACTTCCAACTTATGGTGACCCTAAAGCAAACCAGCCATAAGCTTTTCTTGCCAAGATTTGTTCAGAGGGGGTTTCCTTCACTGAAAACAGGTTTTTGTGCCCAAAAACACCCTCCACACAAACACACACACCCTACATATTTTGCTGCACATAATAAGCTCTTTGCAACACTTTAGAACATTTGAATACGGAAAGAATATTGCAGAGGAATGTTAATTTCATCCCACAGTAGAAAAAATGCAAGAATGAAATAGGGATTTATGTCCCTAAAAACTTCTGGTATAACGGTGTGTGCAAACCTAGTCCAGAGAGCCAATATGGAGTAGTAGTTTGAGTGTTGGAATAGGACCAGGGTTCAAATCCTCCCAAAGCCATGAAAGCCCCTTGGGTAACCTTGGCCAAGTCAGATCTTCTTAGCCTAAGAGGAAGGCCATGGCAAACCATCTACGAACCAGTAAGAATATCATAGGATAGGCCACCATAAGTCAGAGTTAGCCAGTATAGTGTAATGGTCTAAGTGCTGGGTAAGGAAGGGTTTGGAAACTTTACTGGGTAAGTCACACTGTCTCAGCCTCAGAGGAAGACAAAGGTGAACCTGCTCCTGAATCAATCTTGCCAAGAAACTCCATAATAGGTTCACCTTAGGGTCTCCATAACTTGGAAACAACTTGAAGTCACACACAACAACAATCTTCTTACTCTGCCTTGTTCCTTCTAAGAAGGACATGCTTTCTTTTGCAGCAAAGGACAATTATTCTTGCATTATTCACAAACCCAGCTGCTGTTTGGGACCATAGGAGATTTCATGAAGGGAAATCCAGCAAGCATCCTTGCCAAGATCCTGCAGGCGATCTAGGGCAAAGGGGCAGCTGCCTTTCACTCCATTGACTCAGCAGCTAAAAATAATGCAAACATGATCATTTTTCCCCCTTTAAAAAAAGAAAACGACAACAGGTAGAGACTTCCCAGGATGACTCCATGTACCTGTTTTCAAACCCAAAACCACAAAAGGATGACTCATTAACTGCCCCAAGCATGGTGAAGGTAGATCACTTTTCTTCCTGGCAGTCGATGCATGCGGAGAAAACAGAAAGTGGTTGTCCCAGGCTGAAAAGATGAGACCATCTACCTAACTGCATCTACTTCGACACAGAGACAGCCTATCTAAGAATGGGGAGGAACATCAACTGGACTGCACTATTAGCACAACAAATTTGTACTAACTTGTGTATAGGGGCACAGCTATTTTCAGACCGGGGTGACTGACAGGTCCATTGTCCATGGGGCAGTGAATCTACTCCAGGTTTTAATCCAAACTTTATGGGAACTATCTCATCCTTTCTTGATCTATCCGAGGTGCTGAGCATCTTCCTTGACTACAGCTGCTTCTTTCTTTTGTGAAAACTCTCCAAGGACTGACAGTGGGTAGCTCAGGAACCAGCCCTGGTCCACCACTTTTGAGTAGCACTGCCCTAGGCTGCATCCACACTGCAGAAATAATCCAGATTGACACCACCTAAACTGCCATGGCTCCACGCTATGGGATTGTGGGAGTTGTAGTTTCGTGTGGCACCAGTGAGTTCTGACAGGGAAGGCTAAATATCTCACAAGACTGCAGTTCCCAGAATCCCACAGTATGGAGTCATGGAAGTTAAAGCGGTGTCAACCTGGATTATTTCTGCAGTGTGGATGCAGCCCTAGATGAACATGGGTAGGTAGAGGTATTCTACCATACCCTTCTTTATTGCTGGATCGACTAGAGCAAAATCATGTGTTAAACAGGAATCAGTAGACAATGGACCACAGAAAATGACTCAGAAAATGGAGGAGTCTCCTTCACTGGAGGTTTTGAACCAGAGGTTGGATGACGATCCTTCAGAGATGTTTCACCCATGGATTTCCTGGATTGCCAAGATGTGGTACTAGATGACTCTACAAATCTATGGAAGCGAAGTTGTCCCTCCTAGAATTTTCTCTCCTGGGAGCCCTGTATGGGCCATCCTAACTAAAATAAGATTTAAAAAAAACTAATTAGTTTATCTTGTAAAGGATAGTAGACATCACAAGCTCATCCAAACCCGTTAGTCATACTTGCGTCATCTGGTTCTCCGTGTAAACAGCATGTTAGCGAGCCAAAGGACTTCTTTTAAACTGGCATGCATATGTGGAGACGAAAGGAGAAGATGGTGGGAGGCAGCTTTGAAAGGGAACCCTTTTATCTCTTTAATCCTGTTCTGTAGGAAAGCAAACCAAAGCAGCTGGAGGTAGGTTCACACCAGGTGAGGGGGATGGGATTGCCAGTTCCTTCCCATCGGGGATTTCAGATCTCTTTGGTCTTCAGAAAAAGCAGAGAGAGAACAAGAGAGTAACCTTTCCAAGTGTAAGGCTGGTTTGGGGAGCATGAAAAGGAAGCCTGAAAAGGGACAAGCAATCCTGGTAAGTGTGGGATGAAGAAGGGAAGGGAAGGGAAAGGAAGGAGGAGAAGCACAGAAGAGAACCTTTTGGGGTCAGGTTGACTTGAAGGAAGAATCTGAGAGAGGGAAGGGAGAACAGAGAACATGTTTATCCCTCCATCAAGGTCCTGGGATTTATGATGGAGATGACCAAAGGGGAAACAGTGGCCAGTCTCTGTTGTGGGGACCCAGAAACAATGTTGGTGAAAAATCCCAGAATACACTATTGTTGGTGTTGTTGTATGCCTCCAAGTCATTTCCAACTTATGGCAACCCTGAGGCAAACCTATCATGGAGTTTTCCTGGCAAGATTTGTTCAGATTTGTTTCCCATTGCCTTCCTCTGAGGCTGAGAACATATCACTTGCTCAAGGCCACAGAGTGGGTTTCCATGGCCAAGCGAGGATTTGAACCCTGGTCTCTAGAGTCATAGCCCAATGCTCCAACCACTACACCATGTTGCCTCTCACAGAATGCATTACTCACAGGCTTCTATCAATGGGGGCTGCTTGGTTCCCATGTCAATGGGATGGAGAACCTGCTCTGAGAGTTTTTCTGAATTTTAAAGGAGCTATGCAAAATTCTGAACATGTAAAAACAAGTTCAGCACCTTGGACAGCTAGTTGCTTGAAGGGCTTTAGTTGTGTGTTCCTACAGGGCAGGAGGCTGGACTAGGTGGCCCTTATGGACCCTTTAAAGATACTATGACTCTATAGGAGCAAAAATTCCACCTAAACATTAGGAAGAACTTCTTCACCCTAAGAGATGTCTGAGAGTGGCACATGGACTGCTTTGGATGGTGATGGACTCTCCATCTTTGGAGATCTTTAAGTAGAGGTTGGATGGACATCTTTCAGGGTTGCTTTAGGTGTGGATCCCTGCATGGCAGAAAGGGGTTGAACTAGATAGCCTTTGCAGTCCCTTCCAACTCTATAAAAGTTCAGGCTAAAGCCAAGAGCACTGCCCCATTGACATAGAAAGTACCAACTCTCCCCTGCTTACCTTCCTAGCATTCATAAAAAGGGAATATTTAGGAAGTAAAGAAATGCTGCTCCCACATTGCTGCCTAGCCTTTTGCACTCCTAGTTCCAGGGTTACCTGGCTGTTGCCTACATTGGTTAGAAGATTCTGGAGCTTTCATGCAAAAAAAGATTTCTTTTCTCTCTGCAAGAACTCTTCCAAGAGAAGATGGAATAAACTGTTTCAAAACACAATGTCTTATTTCTTTCTCACAGAGAGAGAGAAAGAGAGAGAGAGAGAGGTTTCAGCTGGCGCCTCTGCTGTCTACATTTGTAAAGTATTTCTTTCATTTTAAGAGAAAGGCTTTCAGAACTGTGGAACATTAGAATGGAAGATAGTTCTCTAATAAAAATCAATTTCAGGTCTGGGAGGTCATGTGTCATCTCTTTCCTTTTGCAACAACAATTCAGGATTGGACTTTCTGCAACTTTAGGCAAGGATGGAAAAAGTCCCAGCCCAGGGGTCCTATTTCACCCCCAGGAAGACACCATTTCTCTCCATAAACCAACAAACATATGAACTGGAGCCTCTAAGAAAAGAAATTGAGCCTTTACATTTCTTGCAGGACAATGTAATGTGGGCCTCCATTTTGCAAAACCAGAAGTGGGCTTTCTGGTTTCATTGTTTACCTCATTTCTGGGGAAGAAATCCATGCAGACCCCAAAAGGTTTGGAGGAACCAGACCAACTGAGGGGACCCAGCCCTGAATTATTCTGATGTTTCCATTTCCATCCTTGAAACTCCTACCAAATCCTCTCCGCATTGGTAAGAAGAGGCAAGGAATATATGATGGGATATCAACTGA